GTTATGTTTTAAAAGAAATTTTATTTTTTCTTCCATTATTCTTTTAAATTTATTTAATGGGGCTAATTCTTCTGCTCCTGGCAATCTCAAATATGAGGCTACCTCAAAATCATTTTGATCAAAACTTTTAGTTTATATAAGGTTTTATGGTTGCAATATTATTGCAAAATACAATATTGATCCAAAAATAATAATAAAATAAACAAAAATACAATTTTGATTAAAAAAATACAATTTTGTAATACAAAATTCCCAGTCCTTGTAGTAACCAACACTCCAATCCTTATTCAAAACTAAGGCCCCACATACAAACACCCCCATCCCCAACCCACACCCCAGGGACTGCTGCAGGATAAGAACCTAAAAAGCCAGGAAAGGAAATATAACTATTCTCTCTCTTTTTTGCTCCCTCTTGCCCCACTTTCCTAACTGCTTTTCCTGACCCCTTCCTTCCCCAACCATGGGAGGACAAAGCTGCCCCCACACTGGCTTTGCATCATGCATGACCCACTTGTGCATAACAAGAGAACCGTCACAGGGCCTCTGCCCTGACACAGTGCAGGAATGAGGGTTACTCAATGCTGCCTTCAGCTTCCCCACCACAAAAGTCCACCTCTATCCTCACTCTAGATTTCTTAGGCAGGAGAGAGACCATGCTGGATAGACTTCAAGTGAAAGGAAGGTACTCTGGGGCGGGAGGTGGAGGTAAGAGACTCACAGACATTAATAACTATGTCCAAAGTCCTCTCACTGGATCTTCTCCCTCCTGATTCTTATATCTCTGATGGAGACTTTAAATCATCTAACTTATCATTAAGCAGCTGCTTTGAAATTTCTGGAGAATAGTTTGTCTCCCACCTTTCTTGTTTTCTGATATGTAGCCCATCTTGGTGCCTCAGTAGAAACTTCCAGTTAAAATCTGTTTACAACTCCATGCTTAATAATTACAATTAGTATTTTTAACTAAATTTATTGGAATGACATTGGTTAATAAATTATATAGGTTTCAAGTGTGCAATTCTATAATACATCATCTGTATATTATATTGTGTTTACCATCCAAAGTCAAATCTCCTTTTGTCACCGTGTATTTGACCACCTTACCCTTTACTACCACACACCCACTTCCTTTCCCTCTGATAATCACTCTACTTTTGTCTGTATCTATGCATTTTTGTTTGTTTGTGTGTCTTTTTGTTCATTTGTTGCTTTCAGCTTTATATCCCACATATGAATAAAATCATATGGTTATTGACTTTTTCCATCTGACTTATTTCATTTAGCATGATCTTCTCAAGATCCACCCATGGTGTCACGAATGGCAGTATTCCATCTTTTCTTATGGCTGAGTAGTATTCTGTTGTGTACATGTGCCACATCTTTTTTAAACAATCATCTATTGAAGGGCACTTCAGTTGTTTCTATGTCTTAGCCTCTGTGAATAATGCTGCATTGAACATAATAAGAGTACATAGATCTTTATAAATAAATATTTTCAAGTTTTTGGGGTAGATACCCAGAAGAGGGATTGCTGGGTCACATAACAACACTATTCTTAACTTTTTGAGGAATCTCTATACTATTTCTATAGTGGCTGTACCAGTATACATTCTCACCAACAGTGAATGAGGGTTCCTTTTTCTCCACAACCTCCCCAACACTTGTTATTAACTTGTCTTGTTGATAATAGCTGGTCTAACAGGTGTGGGGTGGTATCTCATTGTAGGTTGATTTGCATTTCCTTAGTAGCTAGTAAAAAGTGTCTTTTCATATCTGTTAGCCATTCATATGTTTTCTTGGGAGAAGTGTCCATTTATGTCCTCTGCCCATTTTTTAATTGGATTGTTTGTTTTTTTTTGTTATTCAGCTGTAGGAGTTATGTATATATGTGAGATATTAACCCCTTATCAAAAGTGTTGTTTGCAAATATCTTCTGCCATTTGGTTTGTTGCCTTTTTGTTTTGTGGATGGCTTCTTCTGCTGTATGGAAGCTTTTTAGTCTGATACAGCCCCATTAGTTTATTTCTACTTTGACTTCCATTGCCTTTTTCTTAAATTCTCACTCAAAGACATGCTTATCAATTGTAGAGAGAAGGGAAGGGAAGGAGAGAGAGAGGGACAGCAACATTGATATCAGAGAAAAACATTGACCAGTTGCCTCTTGCACGTGCCCTGACTGGGGACCCGAACCCACAATCTAGGCATATGCCCTGAATGGGAATTGAACCATAGCACTTTGGTCTACAGAACAACACTAACCCACTGAATAACATTTGCCTTTGAGGTCAAATTCATAAGATATTCTCTAAGACCAAGGCCCATATGTTTAGTACCTATTTTTTCTTTATGTAATTGACTGTTTCAGGTCTTATATTTAGGTCCTTGGTCCATTTTGAGTTAATTTTTGTGTATGGCGACAAATACCAGACTATTTTTATTCTTTTCCATGTGTCTTTTCAGTTTTCCCAGCACCATGTATTGAAGAGGCTTTCTTTTCTCCATTGTATGTTCTTGGCTCCTTTTTCAAAAATTATCTGCCCATATACATGTGAATTTATTTCTGGGCTCTCAATTATTTTATTTTATTTTATTTTTATTATTATCATTTATTATTATTATTATTATTATTATTAAAGCTAAAAAACCTTCCCTTATTACATAAAATCAATACAGCTGCTTCTAAGTTCAACTGTTTGTGCATCTCTATGTTGTTCAAAGTGTGGTGCCTGTGATGTTAAAGACAATCGCTTCCAAGTGTCATCAGGTGTCATCTTTCTGTGGGTGTCATCATGTGTCATACCTGCTCCCCATTTCACATACAACTGACACATTGCTCAAGGATGTTAAGCTCTCCCAGGCCCTGAAGTAAACATATACCTAATGTTCTTCCATACCTAATTGTGCCAGAAGCAAAGTTCTGAAGAAGACACAATTAAAACTATCACACGTGTCCCAGCTTATCAATATATTGTTTTATCATTTTCATTAACAAAGTGCATTACAGTGGGTTCTCAGTTCTGTTAGTATTTTTAAAATAATTCACTGCATGTTCTGTTTTCATCACCTCCCAATTTGCAGTATTGGTAAAACAATAAATATTCAACCATGTATACATTTATAGTAAAACAAAATATGCATATTTTCATCACATTGCTTCTGTAGTTCCTTGTGTGAAATCAATTCAACCATTTTTAAATTCTGTAAAATTGGGCCCCAACTTGATAAAATCACCAAAAAACCTTCCAGATTCCTCAAAGATGTGCACAGTTGGAACAAGTGCTTGCCCATGTCACTCATGAATTCACTCATTCTTCAGAAGCTCCCTGAGTACCTGCCATGAGGCAGCCACTCACTGTGTAGGTTGCTATTGACCCAGAGAGAAGCAAGGTAAATATGACCCCTGCTCTTGTGGAGTAACATTCTAGTGCTTAGACATATCCAATCATTCAATCAAGAAACAAACAAGAAAAATGCTACATAGAAACTGATATTAGACAGAAAATTAGAGTAGAGAGTTACTACATGAAGTGACCTGGGGAAGGCTGCTTTGGAGAAGTAACTTTTAAGCTAGATAGAATATGGCAGGGAGAGCAAGTGAAAGGAATTCGGGTAAGTCCTAGATTTAGAGTTTAACTGGGTACACTCAAAGGATGGTCTCAGGACCTGTGGCAGTCTGCAAGCTATCTCCTCTCCACCTTGAGATAAGTACACAAATTGAGAGTAACCATTACAAAATTTTTATAGTAATTTTACAGAAAAATTTCACGTCTTTTGAGCATAATAAATTTGCATGCTTTTATATTCTCATTTTTCTAGTAAATTCATTCTTATTTTATTTTATAAAAGTACAGGTTGGAAATTTTTAGAAACCTGGTTTTCACCATAGACTGTGTGTGGAAACACTGGCTTAGCCACTTAACCAAGTGTATGAATAGAGATGCCATTTCCTGAGATGAGAAAGAGCGGGATAGGAGCATTTCTGGGAACAGAAATCAAGTGGGCATTGTTAGACCATGCTAAGTTTGAGGTGCCCATTGGGCATCCAAGCCATGATGTAGAGTAAACCATTGGGTATATGACTCTCATAATACAAAGTAGATTACTGGGTTTATGAGTTCTGGGGAAATACCCAACTTGGAGATATGGATTTGGGGCCATTCAGTATACAGAAGATATCTGAAGCTGTGGGATTGGATGAGATCACCTACCTACAATTAGGAGCTAGCAAAGAAGACTGATAAGGAGCAGCTAGAGACAGAGAAGGAAAACCAGTGTGGTGTCATGAATACCCACAGAATAAAATGTTTCAAAAAGGAGAAGTAGTCATCTGTGCCTAATGCTGCTGAGAGGTATGATAAGGTAAGAACAAATAAGTGACAGCTGGATTTGGCAAATTTGGAGACCCTAACAACAGTAATTACAGTGGAACAGTGAGAATACAATCCTAACTGGACTAGGTTAGCAAGGGAACAGGTGACAAAGAAATGATCCTGTAACAATATAAAATTTTTTCAAATAGTTTTGTTGTGAAGGGAGTAGAGAGATGCAATGAAGATGGATATGGAGTCAAGGAAGATATATTCAGGATAGATTTTCTTCAGGTATGCGGATGGGAATGTCCAGGAGAGACAGGAGATTAGTAATACAGGCATCCATCAGAATGCAGTTCATAGGGAGCTCTACATATTGAAATGGACATTAATAGTAGTTATGGATATTACATTCCATCTTCATTCCATTCCCTACAGGATTCTACAGGGGCTCCATGCTCAAGGTGAGGAATCGGGATTCACTAAGGCAGTTTGGGATTATAGTAGAGACACTGAAATCACCTTTAGTGCTCGTGGTGAGGACCTGGAAATGGAACATGCCTGGTTTATTGGGGCTCCATGATATAAATCTAACATCTGAACCTTAAAAAGTTGCATCTTTAAATTATAATGACACCTTCTTCCTTGCCCATAGAAATTGAAATTGAAAGATGTTTGCCATTTTGACAGGAGTACAAAATTTCAAGCTTTGAGCAGAGACTGATGAATGAAATAGAGTTTCGCTTGGAACGTACCCCTGTTGATGAATCAGATGATGAAATCCAACATGACGCGATCCCCACAGGCAAGTGTATTGCTCCCATCTTTGACAAAAGACTCAAGCACTTCCGGGTCACAGAAGGCTCTCCAGTCACGTTCACCTGCAAAATTGTTGGAATACCTGTTCCAAAGGTAAGGGAAGATGATGAGCCAGTTGGCAAAGCAACAGCACAGAACCGTAGACAGTACCTTTCTTATCAGACTCAAGTGAAATATCTACAAAGGGAATAAAAACCAATATCAGAAAATTAACAAAGTCTACCTAATTTGGCTTAAAAGAGACAATCAGGAATAAGATTGTTAAGTAGACCAAAAATAAATCAGACTTATGGGTAAGTTAGAATTTTATTAAAATTTTAAAATAAACTTCTTAGTTATGATCCTCTGTTTTAGGCTATTGATTCTCTCAACCATCAAACTCGCCAAATTGATTTTTTTATACTTAACACTTATTGAATGTCTACAGTGTCCCTGTTGTTGTACAAAGCGAGCTATATTTGTATCATTACTATTAGCTTGGTAAATGCTAAAAATGTCAAATATCATTATCACTGGCTGCTGAAAAATCTTATGAGTCATCAGATTTTTTGGCAGTCAGCTAAGAGAAGGATTTACACCCAGTATTGCTGTAGCAGGAGATCTCTCCACTCTTCTTTCACAAACAATAATTAGCCTGGTGTTATCACGTAACGTTAGCGAACAAGGAAATGTAGAGGAACGTACCCCTCTACAAAGGGCAGTTGCAATCAGTACTTCATCCTACCCCCTTACCCTCCACCCCCCCACCTTTGAGATATCTCCTTGATATATGCAGAATTTACCATGAAAAATATATATATTCAATTTTTAGCTGGATGAAAAATTTAGAGAGTGAATCCTGGCCTCATTCTACTCAACATAATAAACCATACTATTCTTTCAAGCAAGGTAAGCCCATCTAAACCCTGAGATCTGCAACTGCAGAAGACTTGAGCCTGTAATGGAAAAAGATAATGGGAATAGGATAATGGAAAAATAGGCTCCTAGTTTTCTGTTTTTCCTTTGCCTTTGAAAGTATGTCTGTACTTAGAGTAACTTTCTAAGTAATTATGAAGTACAACAAAAATAGTAAAAGCTTCATCTTGATCCTAAATTATGTAGAATTTTTGACTTAAGCATTGTGTAAGTGTTGGAACATATTACACTGCTTTTAATATGTTTTATAATTTTTTCTGAATGTTTTATAAGAGGTGACTCACTTATAGAGATGGGAATCAGCCCTTGCTTCATCCTACTCCCTACTTTATTATCCTGTGAAGATGTACAGAACAATGTATATGCTCCTTGATCATCTTTTATTTCAGGTTTACTGGTTCAAAGATGGAAAGCAGATTTCAAAGCAAAATGAGCACTGCAAAATGAAACGAGAAGGAGATGGAACGTGTTCTCTGCACATTGAATCCACCACGAGTGATGATGATGGCAACTACACCATCATGGCTGCCAACCCCCAGGTGGAGATGCAGGGTTCAGCATTTTGCTGCACTCTTAGGAAGGAATGGGTGGTGTCATGAATGAGAACTTGAGAGGTGGGAGTTGCTGAGGCTTGCCGAGGAAAATGAATAAGAAGCATTGTGATTGTGTGTATTAAAGCACAGTATCACAATTTAAGACCGGTTAGCCACTGATGGGTCACTCAACCCTTCAGCCTTTGTCAAAAACATTAGTGGTATCTATTTATTACATCCCACACCCATTGGGCTAAATCTTGTGTTTATCAACTCACTGACTCTCTTGAAGGGTCAATAAACTGATCTATTCAAAAAATGATTTGTTGTTTTTGTCATTTAGAGAATAAGCAAATTACTTCACAAAGTCTTATGAATATCTCTCAAACTCATAACATCCTTCTTTTTTGTTTTTTGTAAAAGTTAGAAAGCCATAATCTTATGCTTTCCTTTTCTGATGAGATTGACAACTTCCTCTAAAAGATATGGCTGAATAAATATGTTCAACTACTATTAGAATAGGAATTTCTAGTCTCACCCACCCCTCCTACTAAAATAGTAGTTTTGAAGATAATCTTTATTGAGGCAAGTATAAGAACACTTGGCCATGATCTCTGCATATGGCTGCACAAGAATTCATATTTTTACATTTGTGCTCTGTTCATTTCTCAGCTTAAAAAACTGAAAGTCATCAAAATTTTATTTAAAATCCCTCCCCATGGACTATTTACAGTGATTTAAGGAGTCATATTATATGTTTATCCCCCCAAAGAAAACTTATTTAGCCAAAAGGTTCATAATAGTTATAAGAGTCATGTTCAAAAAAGTATATTAAATTGAGATGTGGAATTCTCATTTCAGTATTATTCATTTTCTGTTTCTTAGGGGAGAATCAGCTGTTCTGGCCACTTAATGGTACAAAGTTTGCCGATGCGCAGTCGAGTAACACCTACTGGTCAGTCTCACAGGTAAATAAGGATCTTCCTTCTCTAGCTACTCCCAAGCAACCACCCATTACAATAGCACTGAAGCAGTGGGTCCAGAAATTGTTACTTAAAGTGTAGTCATCAACCTGTAGCATCAGTACCACTTGGGAGCTTATTGCAAATGCAGAATCCTAAGCCCCACCCCAAACCTACTGAATCAGAATTATATTTTAATAAGATCTCCAGGTGACTCATAAACATAATAAATTTGAAAAGTACTGACCTACAGCACACTTTTAATGCTTCAAAATTTGTAACCTGTTTACATATAAATTAGACCTGGGATCATCATTTTTTCTTTAGTAAAACAAAAACTGTTAATGCTTGTGTGGACATACACTGAATATTGTTGTTGTTGTCTCCAGTATACCAATTCTTTCTAATAAACTACTTGACTTTCTTTCTCTCTGACTTTATGAACTACTAAGAAGAAAGAGCATAGCTTTTCCTTGACTCTTATGGCGCCATAAAATCTTAGCAAAGCATTCCATAGTTGCTGACATGGATGAATTAAATTTGACTTACCAAAGAAACAAAAATAGTGACTCATATTTCAGATACAGTATTTCACTGTCGTTGCACTATACCTTCTTCATTTTTTTTTCAAGAGCAGCTGTTACTGTTGGTCATTCTGAACCAGTAAGTTCGTGATAATCTTTAATGATCTGCTATAATTTATAGCCAGGTTAAATTTTATTACTTGGAGACACAAGGATTGCAGCTGCCTTGTTCTGGGTCATAAACAGCACTTCTCCTTTGGCTCTCATTTGAGGTTCAGCATGCATACTGATTTATTTGTTTATTTTGAAACTTTTGAACAACTGGTCAAACCCAAGGCAAGAGAAGCTAAGCCACTTAACCCAGAATGACTTCAGAGAGCAAGAAGCTAAAGCCTGTTTATTTGATTACAGATCTCACAAGATAAACCTACAGTATATGAGATACTTACCACTTTGTTTTTTACATCAGATCCACACCATTATTTATTATTTATTATTTGTTTATGGTCCAGCAACACTTTCACCCTCCCTCACCACCTACCACCCACAAAAAAAAAAGAAAGAAAGAAAATTCATTTTCCAGACCCAATAGCCATGCCTGAATGCCTACTGTCATAAGTTTATAAGTGAGTTTCTGTATTTAATACCTCAACACATTTGTTGTTATAGAGGAAGGTCCCGAGTGCAAGAAAAAGACAAGGAGCCCCTACAGGAACGCTTTTTCCGACCACATTTCCTGCAGGCTCCTGGGGATATGGTAGCTCACGAGGGGCGCCTCTGTCGGCTGGACTGTAAGGTAGGCCCTAGCGCCATCCGCCATCTGTGGCTCCAGATCTGTTCATGTTTTGCAATTGTTTGTTTGTTTGTTTTCACTTATTTTTGTTTTTATTTTGTGGGGTTTTCACAAGGAAAAGAGGACTGGGGAAAGGAGATAGATCACTTTGTTTTCCTCACAATGCTGTTTTGAAGTATTTAATACTAGACAAAAATATTTCATGAAATTTTTAAGCCTTTGTATCTTACTATCGGTATTGTATCAAGTTAACTCCGTGTTTGTAAAAAAAAAAACAACAAAAGAGGTGATATAATTCTGACGTTTTCCTTATGGTGCCTGGAAAGTCTTTGTTACTATAAAGCCAAAATGTGATTTTTACATTCTTGAAGCCTTTTAAAAATTACAGTCATGAAAAGATGGCTCCAAGGCAGTTTATAAAAACAGACGGTAATTTCTGATGCTAATCATCATTCATCACCTGTAGCTATTCTAATTCTTTGATCAAGAATGAGGTTCGCTCCAGGAAGTCCAGGAAGCTCAGAAAGTCCCAAAGAAGTTGGACCCAAGGAGGAACACACCAAAGCACATCATAATTACATTAGCCAAGATTAAAGAGGAAAGAATCTTTTTTATTTATTTATTTTATTTATTTATTTTTAGACAGAGAGGAAGGAAGGGAGAAAGAGAGGGAGAGAAATGTCAATGTGTGATTGTGTCTCCTGCACCCCTCACTGGGGACCCAGCCTGCAACCCAGGCATGTGCCCCGACCGGGAATCAAACCGGCAACCTTTTTGTTAGCAGACTGTCACTCAATCCACTGAGCCACACTAACCAGGGCAGAAGGAGAGGATCTTAAAAGCAACAAAAGAAAAAGAGACAGTTACCTACAGAGGAGTGCCCGTAAGACTGTCAACTGATTTCTCAAAAGAAATCTTAACAGGCAAGAAGGGGCTGGAAAGAAGTATTCCAAGTCATGAAAGGCAAGGACCTACATCCAAGATTACTCTATCCAGCAAAGCTATCATTTAGAATGAAAGGGCAGAGAAAGTGTTTCCCAGATAAGGTCAAGTTAAAGGAGTTCATCATCACCAAGCCCTTATTATATGAAATGTTAAAGGGACTTATCTAAGAAAAAAAGATAAAAACTATGAACAGTAAAATGACAACAAATTCACAACTATCAACAACTGAACCTAAAAAATCAAAAACAAAAACAAACTAAGCAAACAACTAGAACCAGAATAGAATCACAGAAATGGAGATCACATGGAGGGTTATCAGCAGGGGAGTGGGAGAGGAAAAAGGGGGAAAAGGTACAGGAAATAAGTAACATAAATGGTAGGTACAAAATACACAAGGGAGGGTAAGAATAGTATGGGAAATGTAGAAGCCAAAGAACTTACAGGTACAACCCGTGAACATGAACTAAAGGGGGGAATTTGGGTGGGAGGGGGTGTGCAGGGCAGAGGGGAATAAAGAGGGGAAATGGCACAACTGTAATAACATAATCAATAAAATAAAATATCAGAAAAAAAAGAACGAGGTTCACTTGAGCAGCCTGGATATCTCCCAGTATGCAGAGAAATTTAAGTCGCCCTTCTGCCCAGACAAAGATGCAGAGTGCTGTGGAAAATTCAGATGCAAATTAGTAAAGGCTTGAGGTCAGTAATTCATAAAGTCCACTTCTCTTGATGATTCTTGCTCTCCCAATGAAGGCCTGAATAATGTTCCAAATTGACTGTTACTTCTAAGCCCTAGCAGACACCCATGTACGGGCCCCATCCCCAGAGTTTCTGATTTAATGTTACTATGTTAAATAGTGGGCATTAGGATTTTCAGATGCTCCCCGTGTGATTATATTACATAGTCAGGTTTGAGAACACTGGTTTAATGTCTGTCCTTTACTTGGGTACCTCTCACTCATTAGGTATATAAGCAACATATCATCTCTGAAACTGATACTGCAAGCCTATTTTATCTATTTACCTTCTTAATTCATACTTATTCTAATCTAGAATGTAACTATGACCTGAATCTGGATCTAAATACTGTACAGTTTAAATTCATGTAGCTATTCATCCAAACCCTCTTGTGTTGATGTTTTGTCCCACTGTCTGGTGCCAGATAAGGATAAAAAATTCAGCCACCAGATAAATCTGCCTGTCATCCATCTGTCATTTGCTTCAGCTGTCCTGTTTTTTTTTTTTAATTAGGTGAGTGGCTTACCACCCCCAGAGCTGACGTGGCTGCTCAATGGCCAACCTGTGCTACCAGATGCCTCCCACAAGATGCTGGTCAGAGAGACCGGAGTCCACTCTCTGCTCATTGACCCACTCACTCAGCGTGACGCGGGGACCTACACATGTGTTGCTACCAACAAAACTGGACATAATTCCTTCAGTCTGGAACTCACTGTAGTAGGTAGGTTCACTGCTGGGACCCTTAAACATAACTCCCTCCAAAGCTATTGCCCAAATACACAGAGCCTGTGACAGAATTACTTAGACCCTTGCCCCACCAAGTCTAATCTCAGTTTCAAAGAAACATCAGTTGGGCACTTTGTGCATATTATACATGCAATAAATGGGAGTCATTGTGAGAATTAATCAATCAATTAATTGGTCAACTAACTGAGCACTACTAATTTTAAGCCCTTTGCTCTGTAGTTCATCATCCTGGAAAGCACAAGGATCTTCCTCACCCCACCCTTCAAGCTTCCATGCCTTTGCATCAATGGTCCCTCTACCTAGAACGCCCTTCTCTGCCTAGCAACATCCTACTCATTCCCTAAGGCTTCATTCAAATGTCACCACCAAGGCACAGTGAATCTAAGTGCTATGGAAACATCCCTCTCTGTTTCCATAGCACTTAGAAAAGGACAGACTCTTAGAGCGCTTACTGTGTAACTGTTTACTCCTTTACCCCCCTGAAGAGACTATGAGCATCTAAAGTCAGATTCTGGCTTGTTCTTCTGTGTATCTCCCGTGTCTGACTCTGTCTGGAACACGGAAGGTGCCCAACAAATGTCAAGTCCGTAACTGAATGAGGAATTTTTACTTTATAATATGATATGAACAAATTTAATGCCTACAAATAAAGACAACAATCGTCATCACCTAAGTGATATCAGCCCTTCTGAGCAATAGTCCAGCCAGAATTAAATTTCAGAATATATAAATTCTAGTGCTGGCTTTCCCCCATGTGTGGCCCCTAAAGGAAGTGAGAGTGACTTCAGCATGGTAGCCCTCTCTCCAGGCCAGTGGCTGTTTCCCCCGTATATCTTTTTCTTTTACTCACTCCTAACTTCTTCTTACCAACAGAATAGAACAAGCTCATTCTGCAAGGATATATTAATCATCAGCTTTTACTTTTTCCCCTCTATTTTGCTAAAATATTGACTCTGGAACCCTGAGATTTGAGATATCTTTTCCTTGATTGGTTTTGGCAAAAGAGAAAGAGAGAGGGAGAAGCAAAGAAAAGAAAGCCTACTTAGGAAGCATAATTTGTGTGTTTCTCTTTAATATAACACTTCTTTTAACTTTTTTGTAGCTATAAACTTCTTCAAAATAAAAAGCTCAGGAAACTTAATATATCTTATGCAAAATAAGTACCTATAAAAAAAAGAAAAGGATTATGTTCAGTACATAAAATACATTGTTTCTCAAAGTGTACTACTGAGCAATAAAAGAAACTCCTTAAATTTCACACCTACCATTTGTATCGCCTGTGTGTGACCCAGATCCTTGAGTGGTGTCTCTTATAGGGTATGCAGAGACCACTCCCTCATTTCTCTGTCCCTCATTTCTGGAGCCTTTATGAAGGCAGCATGCTCCACTTAGAGGAGTGAGAAGTGTTCTGAAGGAGGTAAGGGGGTGGATGCCCTCTCTGCTAAATGCCAGAACTGTAGTGAGTTTGAGGAGTGAACCTGAAGGCACTTACTATTCCAACAAGAATGGTCCTTCTTTTGTTTAGCCAAAGAAGTAAAGAAAGCCCCCGTGATCCTGGAGAAACTGCAGAACTGTGGGGTTCCCGAAGGCCACCCTGTGAGGCTGGAGTGCCGGGTAATAGGCATGCCACCTCCCGTGTTCTACTGGAAGAAGGACAATGAGACCATCCCTTTTACCAGAGAGAGGATCAGGTACAGTCGCCCCCCACATTCAAAGGGACTCCCAAACGCAGTGCTTCATCCAAAAAAGTTCGTAGCTTTTTGAATCTGGCGCCTTTCACTGAGAGTAGCGCGTTTGAGTTTTGTCCATGCTATTGTACACACCGAGAATTTCCTCCTCATTGTTGCTGGAGGGTAGTCTATTGTATGAATGTCTCACCGTTTTTAAAACCTTAATTTTTAAGTTTCAAAATGTATGAGAAGAAGCATTTGAGATCTTGCTCCTCAGCCTATGTCATCAGTTTGGCTCAAATAAATTCCTATGAAAATTTAAAACAAGCAAACAAACAAATGTACAAGGAATTTATGATGACGATGCATAGTTTGTATCATGTATCTTTAGTCATATTAGTACCCAGGAAACCTCTCTGACAGTAATAAGCTAAAATAAAATAAATCAAAACAAAACAATAAGTTAGTTATACCCCTTTGCCCATCTCTACATGGTTGATTTTAAAGTAACTTTAAGGATCCAGTTCATAGCGTGGATGTCTTGCTTCATATCCCCTAACCTCTTTTATTTCTTTGCCATTTAGGTTTTATGCCACAAGGGGGCAAGCACTCAAAGGCAGATGATGTACAAAAATTCCTACTGAGAATTATTTTTTCACAGTCACTGGAATTTTTCCAGAGAATGTTGTAGCTGTCAGGTTTTACAAAATTTGGGCATCTGACAAGTCTATGTATATATAGGTCAGACTTTTTCTCTGGTAAAACTTAAGCAAGAACTGAGAATATTCTCAAGTTAACACTTCAGTCTAAGTGAAGGTAACATGTTAAACCCAGCCTGGAATTCTGGTGGAATTATCCGGGCTTGCAGTCTTCAGCTGAGGTGGAGAACTACTGATGCAGAGGACACAGTCGGAAGAGCATGCTGATTTGCTCCTGAACTGGATTAACCTAAGTACTACACATGCCCAGTTAGTTGCATTAAGAAATACTCCCTCTTAAAAAAAAAAAAAAAGAAGAAGAAGAAAGAGGTATTCCCTCTAACAATTCATCTTTCCCATAGCTTCCTAATAAAGTTCTTGTTGAAATGTCCAGCCTGGTTTGGAAGAGATTTTTCTGGACTTTGGTTGTGACAAGTAGGAATACCGCTGGTGGGAACTAGGACTCTGGAAGAGTTGGAGCAATGGCGAGGGCAAGAAAAGGCCTCAGCCTTCATTACAGCCTCAGCAGGTTCATTGCTGCTCTTTTGTGACTTCTTTTCATCTTCAGGCTCACCTTGAATGTTTGCTTCAAGCTGAGCCCCCCTTTCCTCCACCTAGGGACAGAGAAGGGAGGGAAGCAGTGCACTGCTGGAATTGTCCCCTAACCTTGGCAAGGATGTTTCTGTCCCCAAATACAATATGATATATTCTTTCTTTTCTCCAGTATGCACCAGGACACAACAGGGTATGTCTGCCTCCTCATTCAGCCAGCCAAGAAATCAGACGCCGGGTGGTACACGTTATCAGCCAAGAACGAAGTTGGCATCGTGTCGTGCACTGCTCGGCTGGATATATATGGTAGGTATAATGACATCAGTTGAATATCTGTGTGTGATTGGTAACTCAGAGAATCTTTTTTTAAAGGATAGGTGTAGTATATTTCCATAAGTGAATTGGATGGATTATATTTAAGTGCTTAAGAGGTAGACTTTGAAAGTTATTTCATCTTTAAAAGTAACTCAGGGCTTTGCACACTTTTACATTTTACTATGATCTTAACCTTCTTCCAAACGAGGTCCTCCAATACTAGGGATTACAGTGACATCAGAGTTTACATGTGCGTGTACTTCCGATCACCCAGCATCTTCATGCCATCTCCCTGGTACCAAGGGCCACCCACTGGAACTCCCTCCAGCCACACCAGCAGACTTCTCCTGGTACCATTAATTTATTAATTCATTTCACAAATATTTTTGTCCCAATTCCACAATCAGACTAATAATAAAGAGCTGTCCTAAAAATAATATCAAATGACATTTGTATAGTAATGTATAATTTATAAAAAATGGCACCCTTAGATCTCTCGGACCCATGAGATTTCTGTAATTGTTGTTACTCTTATTTAAATGTTGAAGAAACTGACTCAGAGAGGTTAAGTGACTACACCCAGGATGCAAACCCTAGGTTTTGTATCATTCCTTTGAGACATATTTCTAATTTTAAAAGTATTCAATGAAGTAATCTTTATTAATATGTTTGTATACTCTATTCCTGTTCTCTATAATTTTGACATTAACTAATATTTTTGGAGACATATTCCTTAACCCAAATGAGTGATGCCTTTTTTTCTCCTTTAAAAAAAATAATTGTTCACTTTCAAATATATATTTTTTTAAGATTTTATTTATTTACTTTTAGAGGGGAAGGGAGGGAGAAAAAGAGGGAGAGAAGCATCAATGTGTGGTTGCTTTTCCTGCACCCCCTACTGGGGACCTGGCTGGCAACACAGGCATGTGCCCTGACTGGGAATTGAACCAGTGACCATTAGGTTTGCAGGCCAGTAATTATGTGCCACCAATCATGGTTCAGAGCAAAAGAGAATGTATTAGAGGTTCTGTGTTCACCAAGCACTGTCCAAAGGAGACCCCGTTTTTTACCAATCGTTAAATCGTTTACCACCATGATTGGTGGCACTCAATCCACTGAGCCACACCATTCAGGGCCATAATTGGTCACTTTTAAGGTTTCTTGTTTATTACTGGTTTAATGTGATTAACCAGAATAACAAGCGTAACTGTCTAGAACTGGAGGCCCCTGCTATTCACAGGTACACACCAGGTATCCCTTTTTAAAATGTCATACAGGAGGGGGCTAGGCCTGCCCCCCAGGTCTAATTTTCCTAGGTCTAATATTATGATGTGTTTCTTAATCTAGGCTAACTCCTTCAACCATGTCACAGGCCTCACTGTGTCAGAAGGAAATAGGTCTCCAGCTCAGTACCAATAAACCCTAAAATTGATGACTCTTGTCCCAGTCCTGCCCTCCAGTGGCCAAGTTCCCAGTTTGCTTTGTCCTGGCTCACCTCTTCTTGGCTCTTGTCCTGCTTCCACAGCACCAATAGGAGGCGCTATGTCCTTAGTTGAAACCTGGGGGTGGACTAGGGAATGATGGTCTTGAGCTAAAGTCAATCTGCTTTGTCCCTTCCCACTGTTTCCTGCCTGTCTGAGGAATGGGGACAGTAGGCTCCCCTCTCAGCAAAAAGACAGTGTTTAATAGTAGCAATTACAGTCACCTGGGTAGGAGGTCAGGGAGAGCAGGGAAACACTAAGAGGAGTTGGACAGGGGGAGAGGCTAGACCAGATGGCCGCCTCCCAAGTGCCTGCTCTTTAGTGGAATCACTGTAAGTTTTGTCCTCAGTTTTGTAGTTTTCGAAGGCTGATTTTATCACTTCACTCAAAAGTATTTAAACTCTGCAAAACTGATTCAAAACAATAAAATCAACAAAGGACCAATTTATAAATGGAAATGCTAAAAGGGTCGATACCTTTCTAGAATCCAAAGCCTCAGCATTCCCCACCTGATGCTCCCCCTTCTCCACATCAAGGCCTCTTGTAATTTCTGCTAGGTAATTTCTCCTCGGTAATTTCTGAGTCAGAAACCACAGTGGGGATTGGGCATTTTGGATGGGTATTTCATTCAGGCTATAGTTCAAGTCTAACGATTGGTAAAAAACGGGGTCTCCTTTGGACAGTGCTTGGTGAACACAGAACCTCTAATACATTCTCTTTTGCCCTGAACCATGATTGGTGGCACATAATTACTCTTCAGTCTTCTTACTATAAAACTCACTGGAACCTAATTAGGGTGCTGGGTAGATAATGGCTGATTAGGGTGATGAGAGTGTGGGTGGATACTTCTCAGAGGTCCAGACCCATCTTTTGGCTTCCATTTCTGCAGGTTCCTTGTCTGCACCTTCCAAAGAGCCTACGGCCCTCTCTACACTGCCCCTTGCAGGCCCCACACTAGGTTGAAGAGAAGGAATAATTTTTATAAACAACCCTACTCACCCACTCTTCTTTCTGATAGTCCCAGATCTTACTGGATTAGAATCACAGATTTTGGAATTAGGGATTTAGGAGACCACCAGCCCAATTTCCCTATTGCTGGCCAGGAAGGAGAGATTTTATTGTTCTCTTTTACAAATGAGGCATTTCAGACCTAGTTATATTTAAAAGCTTTACCAAGATCCCACAGAAAGTGCTGGAGTGGTAACAGAATGCACGCCTGCAGTGCACCTGCTAGACTGTGCTCCTTTGATGACAACACGTTCTTTGGTCCATTTTCCAGCTCAGTGGCACCAGCAGATCCCGCCACCCATGTCCATCCGGCCCAGTGGCAGTCGTTATGGATCTCTCACCAGTAAAGGACTTGACATTTTCTCTGCCTTCTCCTCAACGGAAAGCACGATTGTGTATTCATGCTCTTCTCGGAGTGTAGTAGAGAGTGATGAACTTTAAGAAAGTCCAGGTACCTGCTGTGCAAGGGGGCAGACTGTGGAGGGGGAAGGTGGACAAGCCAGAACCAGTGGTTTCCAAGCAACTGGATTTGAGTAAGTTCCAATGCCGCTGGACCTATGGCAAGAAGTGCTTTGTATGAGACAGCTGGGGACTCTTGCAGTTTCAGCTGGGGAAGAGATATAGGTCTGTGCCTTTTAAAGATTCCAACAAAAAATGTGAGGAGACAATAACAGATGAACCAAAGATGTCATGCCGCTGCCATCCACTGCTTTGGGGAAAAGCTAGCATGCTCCCTACCCCATGCTGTGTTAGGGATGTTTAGGCCTTGCTAGCAGCAATTAGGGGCCATATGCTTGGGCTGAGAAGAGTTAGACAGTAGTGACCTTAGGTGTTACTAACACCAAACAGTGCAAAGGAAAAAGATGGGAAGGTCTCCAGCAACCTTCAGTGATTACATTCATAGCTGTAGTTTTGGTGGCTTAAGACAGCTTCTACTTAGCCCTACAATGGTAGGGAGATCATGCCATACAACTCACATGTGTGGAGAAACATTTTTGATTTGCTTATCCTGAGTGTACTGAGCCACATAATAAGGCAACAAAATGTGCTTGAGATACAAAATCACTGAAACACTCAATATTGCACAGTGCAGTATTCTATAGCTAGAAGAGGGCTTCACCCACCTGTCTGCACCATATTCTTTTGGATACAATGGTGAGTGGTTTTTCTTTCTGAATTTATATATCCCTAGACTCTAGAACTAAGGGGTTGTTAATAAACTAACCAGAAAGAAATCTTCTCTGGAGACACTCTTTACACTACTATCTTCAATTGCCACTTACAAAACGGACAAGAATCATCATCCTCTGCCCATAAATATACTGATCCTCCTGTTCCTCCCCTCTCCCAAAAGTCTGGAATGTGTGACAGTGAGAGAAAAAGAGATGCAACAAGGGGAGAAGTGATGAGAGAGTGTTCTTCACTTGCCCTCACAGAGCAGTGGTTGTGGGAGGAGAGGTCTTTAATGGTTGTGAACTGCTCTGAGATCATTCATCAAATTGCATTTTCTCCATATAAAATATTATGCTAACTGAAAAGGTGAAGGAAAGGGGAATTTGCCTCTTTTTTCTAACCCACCAATTCAAAACCTGCCTTCCAACTTAAGGAATTTTTAGACTTAAGTTCACTGCAATATCCCCAGTGCCTAGAATGGTACTTAGCACAGAGTAAGCATTCAATAAATATTTGTTGGATGAGTGAATCTTACATTAGACAGAGAAATCTACAATTAATGCACCAGTCAAAAAATTGTCCTGGGGATACTTGTCACAGCATAGTTTGCCCCCAGGCTCACCAGTGACATGAATTGGAAGTATCTGTCCCAGCAGGCATCTTACTCAAGTGAACAAATAGTAATTGCTTAGAAAGGCTTGAAATGTTCTTTTTCTTTACTTCAAGGCAAGGATATTCAGTATAAAAATAAGTTAATTCACTCAAAAATCACTTTTGTGTATGTAAGATGCTATGCTTGAGACTGTGGGCGACGCAAAGAGATGAAGAAGACACAGTCCCTGCCCACAGGGAGCTTACAGTCTAGTAGAGGAGATAAGATAGAAGCCACGTAGAGTGCTGCTTCTTAGCACTTGTCTTAGGACAAAAAAAAGTCTATTCTTTATCAAATAGAAGTTTCTAGATCTCTTCATCCAGCATTTTTCATGTCTCTAAAATCAAGGCTTCAATTATTTAACGGAATGATTAGACTTTGCTTCCTCTTTTCATGTATGCAGGAACAATGCTAAAAATATAGGCAACTGCAATAAAAATAGAATGCATTTAACATAGAATGCATCCTGTAAAATGTTCTATTTCCATACTGGCTTCTATTATGAAATCTATTAACCAAAGAGAAGTTTCTAACTCCAAGATGATCTCTTCACAGTTATACACCTGACCTCCCCATCACATTTACTTTTGAAAACCCGACAGTTTTCCCAGGAAAGGATATTCTTCATCGTTATATGTCTTAGCTTTCTGAATATTTTATTATCTCTTGGCTTCTAGTGTTTCAACAGAGACCTGGGATAAATATTCTATTTAGCCATTAGATGGTGCTGTCTGACCTAAAATATAAAAGCCTTCCCCTCCACCCACCACCCTGCCCACCCCACCCCCCACCTTCCAATATGAAATTTGAGCTATTTATTGGCTTATATTAAAGCAGGGTTTCTCAGCCTCAGCATCATTGACTTTTGGGGCAACATAATTCTCTGTTTGGGGTGGGGGGACTAACCTGGGCACTCTAGGATGCTTAGAAGCATCCCTGGCCTCTAACCACTAAATGCCAGTAGCATAGCAGCCCCTGCTGGGGTTGTGGCCACTCAAACCACCTCCAGACATTGCCGTATGTCCTCAGAGATGCAGAATCCCCCTTTGCTGAGAACCACTGAGTTAAACAAATCAGTGTCCTGCTTTGAGAATTCCAAAAGAATTCAGTTACAATGAGGAATACTTATATAAGAGATTTTAGTTCTGCTGGGTATGTCTGGGTATACTCAGTGTATCCAGAAGATTCATCATCTTCCTTTTTGTAAGTGATTCTTCAACCCAGTTTAATAATTTCTATTAATAACACACAGTCATCCAAATAAAAATCATCCAAGTCATTTTTTACTTCCTTTATCCAATCAATTGATAAGTCCTGCTTCCTCTAACACTATGATTTACATTCAGCCCTTCCTTCTCATCCCCTACAGTTCTCCAGTCAGACTTTCATTATTTTAGTAATTTCCCTCAGTATTCCTGACCTCAACGTGATAAAATACTTTTAAGTGGCTTTTCTGCCTCCAGTCCTATTGTTTCTCCCCACTCAAATCCAGCCCATATCTCAGCATCACTCATCCTGCCCAAAGTACTTCTCCAGTCTTACCGTTCCCCCATTTCAAACCCCAGTGGCTCCCTGGAGCTAACTCAGGTGCCAGCTGTTCTGCCCTGTTGCTCCAACATGATCCCAAAGCTTTTCACCCATTACTCAGAAAACATAGCCAGTGTGGCAGCAGACATATTAACACAGGCCCCTGCTTTCCAGCCACATGCCTCCCTTTTGTCTCTACCTGGAAGTCTCTCTCCCTAGTCAACACCTATAGAAATCTTACCTGTTCTGAAAGTCCATCTCAAAGGCCACTGCCTCTGTGAATTCCTTTGTGATGATCCCCCTCCCAGACCCCAACCAAATACAATTCTACCTTCCTTGAAACCTTATAGTGAATGTCTTGAGCCTGGGAGAAGAGAACTTTGTATAGTATTTTATGTAAAACACAGCCTCTATACATCTGCCTACACTAGATTTTAGCTACCTGTCGGTGTGGACTGTGTCAAAAGTTTGCCATGTACCTTATAAGAGCAGGCACTCAATAAATATTTACTGACCTAAATTGAACTTTAAAATCCATGTAAGTCAATATTTGTTTCCATATAAAGTAAATCTCCTGGGGAGTTTTTAAGAATCCTGGTGCCCAAGCCACAACCCCAAATCAGAAAGTCCTAATTTTGGAATTGTGGCCTAGGCATCAGTGTTTTTTAAAGCTCCCCAGGTGATTCCAATAAGAACAAAGGTGCACAAGAGTCGTTTCAGAACTCACCCAGAAAGGTCCAAAGGGACGCAGATGGCGGAAAGCTGTTGTGCCGGCCTCGGTGAAGGATGTGCTCCCCCTGTCGCCCAAGCAGTGCCAGCACGCCTGAAAAGTAGAAATAAATGCGCACTTTGGCCTCACGAGCCCCTGCTGTTTTCCATAGTGTTCATTAGACATGTAGCATTCTTGAAGCCCCCCCAGGGAACCTCAAAAACATGTAAAAATGGACCAGGGAAAGAGGGAAAGTTGGTGCAATTCATCTGGCCCTTTGTTTCAAAAAGCCGTACTGATCCCGTAAGAACCCTTCTCTCCAAAGAACTGAAGGGCTTTTTATAACGTAGTCAGTCACAGAAATGGGGTCAGAGGGAGAGTGGAGAAAGAAAATGAGCCATCAAAACCTCACTGCCTGTTAGAAACATAGTGTCCTTCAACAAAGTAAGATTTGAATCATAATTGCCAAGTAGTAGGACTGGTTTAATGCATTTTTTAAAAAATTTTTACTTGTCACTTAGTTCGTAGGCATCCAGTGAGAAATTAAATGGTCAGGAGACTAGCAGTGATAGAGCTAGAGCCTTGAATGACACATGTCGTGGAGAGTAACTCCCAGAGGGGTGAAAAACTAACTTTTGTAGGAACGGGTTGATTTGGATAATCTTCAGATGACAAATGGGTTACCTTCTAAATATTCACTTGTAAATTGGTTGTTTAAAACTCAAAATCCATTTTCTCACACATGTACCACCCAATGCTACTTTTCCAAGTGAACCTGGTAAAGCCCATGTAATTCATGACTGAGTTACAGTATTTAGTACAGCGGATTGGGCGATGATTTGGAATCCAGGCAAAACAGCCAGTAAAAGGAGAAGAAAGACTTCCTCCTCCTCCCTTTTTGTGTCTATGATGTGTCAAAGTTAAAGGACGTCTATGGTCCTTTCTGTATCTATCCTCAATCTGTGGTTTTTTTCCCTGGGTGCCCCAAACTCCATGCCCTTTAATCCACCTGCTGTAACCCATTCGATCTCACCCCGCCCCTGTGAGCATGTTAGCATGCTTCGTGATCCAAAATGATCTAACTCCAGTTCCATGCATCTTGGCTCGATATTCTGAAGAAAGTAGTCCAGGTGAACAGATTCTGAATGCCTTTAACTGGCCAGAGGTGCTGCATTTTAAAAGGGTTGCTTTCTTACTCCCATCAACTTCTGATAGAATTAGACAAAGTTAAAAAAAAAAAAAAAACAGGCTGTGAGAAGTCTAGAAAACTGGCTGGGTCAGACATCCAAATTGTCCTCGTTGGTCACAGACTTCTTCAGGACTCCTCCTCCCCACATACTCCCAAAGCACCTTCCAAGCTGAGATCCTAGCCTGAGTCTGTTTGTATATGGGCTTTAAGTCGGCTGTAAACTTTACTCATAATGAACTCTCTTCAAGGTCCCCTACAGGGTCCTTGGGTAACCTGGTCTCAAAGTATTTCTGCTGAGGGTCAAGTTGAAAATCAATGTGCCTTACCAGTAAGATCTATAGTTACTTAGACTGCAATAGAATTTGCTAAAGTTCTTTTCACCACTAATTGCCTTTTCTTGTTTTAAGTGGATCAATATTCAGAAAGTTAATTACTAAAGCTTTGCCTGAAGAATGCCAAGCATCTTCTAAACTTTGACAATGTGCTAAAATCAATATGCTAAAAAAGTTGCAAATACTATGTTTTTAAAAATCTGTGCAGTGCAAAAGAATGCATATTTGTTAAAAATATGTTTGCCTCTTGTTTCTGTCTAATTATACATTAGTTAGCATATTTGGTATTATAGAACCATAAATAGGATGCCTTTTGTTAACATGTAAATAATGGTCACTTCAAACTCCAAAGAGCAATAGTCTTGAAATTGCATGAAATAGAGAAAACACACTTTTCAATCCTCTGAAAATTGTGCCATAAATACTAAGAGTAAGCATAAAGAAAATGATTGTACTGTAGAGGCATAGAAACACTAATTTGCCAAAAGATTTTAATATGTTAGTGAATAGAAAATGTTTTGCTAATAATAAAAATTAAAATATTTCAACATTATTTGAAAATATTTTAAGGCTGAACTGAAATAAATGTACATTTTTCTTTAAAAAGCAGAAAACAGTTCTAATTTTCAGGTTTAATAATTACTTTTGATGGTAAAAGAACTGATTTTTTAATGTACAAAGACATTTGTGATTTTAAAAGTGATTTTTAAAAATTATACTTATGATTATATAAATTACTACATGAATTATAACCTGGTTAACTATCTCCAGAGCTACAGAAAGATGACTGGGTTTTGATCTTTCTAAATGAAAGACTGGACATTTTCTAAAATGTCCAGTAGATTCACCAGACTTCTCACAGAATGTTCTTTAACAATCTAAGATTAAAATTCATCCTACTTCCTAACTGAAAACAAAAACACTTTAAAAAGTAAGACTTTTAGACCAGTTTAGGTTGGAAATTAGTGGAGATACAAGTATAGTTTGTCACACTATGATGTATTCTAACACCCACAAGAAATGTAAATTATTCTCGTACAGTATGATAAGAGGGAATTCCTCAATGTTCTAAAATTCCGAAGAATCCGATAGTTCCCCCAGATTCAGTGAGTTATCTGCAAACTGGAGGCAGATTCTTGTAATTTCCCCACAATTAATGGTAGAAGAATCCAGTGAACTATATACTAGTATTGACTATAGTGGTCACAACCAAAAGATTACTAAGTGTGTATATGTGCACAGTGTAAATGAGTTCACTGCATGTTTTAAGGAGAGTTAGAAACCTTGTAATTCAAATGACATAATTTGAATGCAACTATATTTTTAACACATTGGTAAATTAAATTTTATTTTTCAGTATTGTGATTTCAGAGATACCTTATCTTCTTTTCTGATTAATTTTCACTTTTTTTCACTTTAGCATTAAGCTTCTTGACAAGCCCTTCTCTCTTTCTTACCTCTATGTCAAGATAAAAATCTGTAAAATATTTAATAATATTAGGAGAGCTCCTTATTTCTAGGAATTCACCTAAGAATTCCTAGAAATAAGAGGAACTTTAATAATTCTGATAAATTTTCAGATACTTTTTTAATGTTTCTATAATTCTGGGTTCTCTATTTCTTTATCTATAAAATAAGCAAAATACTTGAGCCTTTCCCAGGATGGAGGATAGGATAAATAAATATTTATAAAGAGTTTATTTTAGAGATCCTAAAAAAAGTGGCAGCAGTTTTTTTTTATTCCAAGGGAAATGTTAAAAATACTTTTTTCCAAAGCAAGTAGTTAATTCATTTTAAAAGTTCACATTTCTTTCCTGCCTATTTTGTTTTTTCTTAGAAGGGTAATACATAGTGGTGAAATCTTCCTCCAAGATGGCATGCAGTTAAAAAAATGTTTGGGAAAAAATAAATGAACTCAAGAAACATCCTACCTGCTTTCTGTGGGCAGAGTCCAGGGAAATTTATTTTGGCATAGGGAGAATAGCCAAAGAGAACTCTGATTCTTGTGTCTATGATTGAAGCTGGTGAAAAAAAATGACTCAGCAGTGCACAGAGAAACAGCAAAGGGGCTCCTGTATTCCTAGACTTCCTGACTTAAGCAGTTCACGATGAGTCCATGTACAGCTCCAGACCCCAATGAAGAAACGTGCATACTAGCATGTCAGTGGTCTTACAGTGAAATGAACCAAGTTTAGGATAACAGGTAGCTGTGGACCCTCAAAAATGAGCCTTTTGGTCTCCATTTTTCCATTCACAGCTTCAAGTCTGAATTTAACCCCAATGTTCATTTCAGCCATGAGGACTGACAAAGGTCATATTTGTGCCATAGGAATGTATCCACATGTGTACACACATATACACACACACTTTAAGTAAGGAGTCATGGAGCACCCATAGCTAACCTAATTTCATTAGAATCAAAAACACCTCTTTCTTACATTTTTCCTTCCTATTCCTGCATGAGTTTTTTTCCACTGGAAAACACACTCTAGAGTCCCAGAAAACTCACAAATATGGTATGCTTCCATCTTAGGAAGCTTAAGTCAACTCATTTTCTAAGGCACTTTTTTAGTTATAGAAATCCTAATGGAAAAGTCATTATAGTAGCCACTTTGAAATGCATGAGTTATATAAACTGTATATTTTGCCACTATTACTAGAAAACAATAAATGGATGTTGGCTTTTATTCCTGTTCCTCTGCATCGTGCATGTTAGTCTGTGGAGCTGATCACTTAAGCCAAAATGTTTGTGAGCATAAACTGTGTCTTTGTTCAGAAGATATATGGTACTGTATTCCGGTAGACCACGTTGTCTCCATGACACCTATTGCTGTGTTCTAGTCGTGCTCTCGTAAACATTTGTTGAGGGTTGTGTTTTGTTTGGAAACTTTGTAATTAGAAGAAGAAAAATAAGAATTAAAAAAACAGTATTTAATTCAACCTGGATGTTTTAAAAAGCAGTTTAGAGGATGTAATGGACTGTTTCTTTATTCATTAAATACAAATTTATTTATTCTCAATTAATTGTTGCGTCTCTTGTGTTGTGTTTTTGTTCCTAGACTTTGCATGTGAGATGGGTAAGTTCTTGCTGTCAGAGGTTTTCTTCCAGCTCGGGTATTTGTTGTTACACTACCAGTGTGAAATAGCAAACCAAACATCCTGTGTTGATTCAATACAAGTTGTTAAGGTGTGTACTCACTAGTTTGTTCATGACCAGACAGCGGAATCAGTATACATTCTGAAAAAATAGGTCATATATTTGTGGTTTTACATGCCCTTTGAAATTTCTTCCACCTTCTAAGTAATAAAGAGAGATGTCTCTAGTGACACCTAAAGAAAGCAGAGAGCAGAGTCTAGCCAAATTCAGTTCAAAAACAGCACTTCACTTTTGTTGTGAAATGCATAATTTAAGTGAACTGAGCCTTAATCATTGAATCCTGCAGCTGTATTACCCACAACACAAACAAATGCTATCTGACTTATATCTAGCAGAAATTTTAGATTTTAATTAATATGAACATCACCATAACAACTTAGAAACTGGCTGTGTTGGGTGTTAAGAAAGATAACCTAATCATTCTTAACATTTGCAAATACAAAGAATGAGAAGTTGATATAATCAGTGTTTGGTAATGATGTTAATGGTATCACAGTAAATATTGTTTAATTAAGTGATTCTCACCCTGTCAGCCCATTAGAATCATCTGGGAAACATCTTTAAAATATCTATGCCCAGACCTCACCTCAGAGCAGTTAAATCAGTTCTTGAGTTGGGAACCCCAAGCTTGGTATTTTTTCCAAGACTCTATAGGTATGATTCTAATGAGCAGTCAGAGTTGACAACCACAGGCTTACATGGCTTTTCCCATTTTGATAGCCACTTCACTTGCATATGATTCTTCAAGGCTACTGACCTTGGGGCTTAGGGCTTAAACCTCCAGCTGGCACCTAGGGAGTGCCCAGATATAACTAGTCCAACTGAAAAGCCCTGCCCAGGGAGGGTGGGAGGTTCTTCTATTATTTAATGCTCTTCTTAAGAGCTCTCAGGGCACATATGGTAGTAAACTAATGAAGCATTCAGCTACACTCTGTCCAGGACTGCTTATTGATTAATACATGCATGTTCCCAGCTGCCTATCCAAGGACAAGGATGGTATTGAGGAAGCCTGGGTATGAGTAGGTCCTTGACAATATTTGTTGATTTATTTTTAAAAGGGAGGCCAGGTAAAACACATATTTTTTTCAATATATTGAATTTCAACATGTCCTACCCTCAAACTAGAACATGGATTTTCAAAGATGAGCAGTATAGAACATTGTAACAACTTTTAAGATGATTGGTAATCTAAAATCTATGTGGTATCTCTCAACTTCAAAAAAAATTTTATACTTGCTTTTTCCAAGCTCTTAATTCATAAACTATGATGGATTTCCCAACATACAGTTTTAGGAGTTTTATCAAAGATTGGATGTGGTGGATCACTGAGACCTACTTACATTTCCCTGAAATATCTTCCAGGAAAAAAATAGTACTTCGAGGCAGGTGGAAAGCTTCGGGATTTGGTAAGAGCAAAGATTTCCAAAACACAGAATTAAGCAGCTAAAGGCATAGCATTTACCAGACAGATTCCCATTCTTTTGGGAGAGTGGGGATGGGGAAGGAGAGGCATGGGATTACAATCCCATCATTTTCATTAAATTGCTCAATTTCACTAAGAAACTGCTGTTAATAACCATACAAGAAATATTTATTGGGTGTTCATTTTGTTTAAACCTCTGTACTAAAAGCTGGAGAAAGAAAATGAAAAGAACATTCTCTTTCATAAGGTGTTTATTCACAGTCCAGGCAGGGGAATGTGAACCTTACCTGAAAATAGGCTAGTGATCTTAACACATTTTTGAGAGCTTCTCTAATACATTTTTTACACTGATTTTATTCATTCTCAAACTCTACAAACTTCCTGGGATTATTTATGAAGCCTTTTAAGTCTAAATAAGTAAGCCATTGTACCTAAATACTGAGTCAGGCAGATCCCCGAAGCCTTGTCATTAACCCAAATGCACACTGTGGAGGGGAGCATGACCAGAAAAGGGTCCTAGCATCACCACTTCTAGAACTGTGTCGGCTGCTCGACTGTAGTGTCTTCTAAGAGCTGTTGAGGTCAAGAAGTTAAACATTTTACTCTCTGATCTGTGGTGCGAAAACAAAGTCCTCAGCCCTCTGCAATTTCTTATCAGCTAACAAGGGAAATTTCTCGTTAGTCTCTCAATGGATTTCTAGAGATACACTTGTGATTCTGCAAGTTTAAAGTTGTACTGGGGGAAGACACATTCACTACAAACTAAATGGATTTTGATAATTCTAACTAAGAAAGTAAAAAATTTAATGGAGACTCTCAATTGCAAATAGATGATTGTATTTGATGTGAGGCATTGAAATCCGTAATAAAAGAGTTTGGAAGGCATTGTTGTTTTGTTCATTTGTGATACTTCCAGAGGTAACTTTGAGTCCTACTTATTATTAACAAGACAGTCATTTTCCCAAACACAGTCAGTGCTGTTGACCACAAAGTCACTCTTTCTGTTAACGTTTGGTTTATTCATCCAATAGGTAAGCAAATTTATCAAAGTAATTCAACCAAATATCATCTGTATTACTTTACTCCTATCTTGATTGGCCTTGATGGTAGTGAAACTCTTACTGCTAAATTTGCACTAATTAAAAGGAAATCACTTCCAAAAGCAACATTTTTTATTTATCTTTGCGTTAGCTTATGTGTGTGTGTGTGTGTGTGTTGTATGTAGGAACAATGTATACATATTTGGGTACTTGAAGGAATTAATAGTAATTGGTCTAACAAAAAACAAAATATTGAGGAATTGTATATCTAGTTACTTAAAACTAAATATTTCAATTAATTTAATCATTAAAAACATGAAAAAAATCTATATTTCCAAGTTGACAGAGAAAACTTTCAAGTTAATTACTTGTGCTCACATAGCTTGTGTATGTGTGTGGGGGGGGGAGGTTGTTGAAGAAGCATTACAAAACAGCTCATTTACCACTGGCGTGATTAGATTTAAACATTCATTGCTCAGGGAAGCACTCAATATCATCACCCCCCAATTAGGCCTTTATGCCATCAATAAACTAGCAGGGGACCTGGCACAAAAAACAAACTCAAGTTTTTATCTATATTTTACAAAATCTATATTTGAACAATGTATACAGTTTTTAAAAATACAGAGCATCCATGCCCATGTACTCTACAGGAAAAAGTCTGACTACTTCATGCATGCACACACAATGCACTAAGCATAAATGCATTTACAAGACACGAAGGTAGCTCTGTTTTACTATACACAAGGAATGGATACTGTAACTTCGTCTGAATAGGACAAACTTACAAAGTTTAAGCAAGTGATTATTTCTCTGAGGACTAAAACTGCAGTATAGCCTAATTCTATCTTTTCTTATGACTGTTTTCCCTCAAACTAGTCCAGAAAAGGGAGAAGGGGAATTATTTTCACAGCAATCAAAACCATTCATAAGATCCATCAATGAATTCTGAAAATACTGATAAGAAGGGAAAAAGACAGGCAGTAATATTATTTTGTCCATAGACTGACTAGTGATGCGAATAAAAGTAACCTGAAAGTTTGCTAATTTTCTAAGAAAGCATCCTTGGCCACCGAAAGCCCCTGCAGACGCTGGGAAAAGGGGTGCGGCTCCGAAGCTGGATCCCTGGGCATTCCTCGCCCCCACATCCCCAGCTGGGCCGCGCGCCCTAACTGGCCATCTGGAAGGGTTCTGGCTGGAACCCGAAGAGCCTCTGGCCATAGGGCTCGCTCTCCCCTGGCAGTTTCGCGCCCGCAAACGGGAGGTAGTGGTCGCGGCCGAAGTGCTCGCAGTGGAGATTGACCCAGTCCCGCTCCGAGCCGAATCGCTCGGCCTCAGCCAGGATGCGCGTCAGAGCCATGATGTAACTCAGCGCCATCTGCAGGGTCTCATACTTGGACAGCTTTTTATCCTGGCCCCACTGAGGTACCACCCTGCGCAGGCGATCGAAAGCAGTGTTGAGCCCCTGCATGCGGCGGCGCTCCCGCGCGTTGGCCGCCAGGCGCCTGCGCGCTGCGCTCTCCAGCCGGCCGGCCCCGGCGCACGTGCCCGCGCACTCCGTGCCGCCAGCGCACGGGGGCGCGGCACGCGCCCCGGTCGCGGGGTTACTGGGCTTGCAGGACTTCATTTCCCGCCGGAAGGAGGGAGGCGCCGAGCTCACTCGCCGGCTCAGAAACTGCACGGTGGGCTGGTCTGTTGAGCAGCTCCCCAACGTGCCTCTTCTCAGCAAGTAAGTTATACACACAGCAACTCGCGTGGAATCAGAGTTTACACTGGGAAGCACGGGCCTCCGCCTTCTGGCCTACTGGATAATCAGATTGATTTCTCTTCACTTGCTCAAAGTTAGGGGAAATGGAAAAGCTGAAGAGAAAGTCATTTTCCCAATGTGAAGTTGAAAAAGAGAAGGGAACCTTCTTGCCGCAGAAATTAGTGTGGCTGGTTCGGGGAAGGCCTTTCAAGTCCTCTGGGAAAGCCCGAGACTTCTTTTCAGAAGGTGAAATCTTTCTCGAAGCTCAGATAGGGAAGAAGCGCATTTTCCGCCGTAGCTGTGGGAGAATGCTGGATAAATCTTTGAGGGAGGAGAATTTATAGCAGAGGGCTGAAGGAGGAAACAGGTGGTGGCAGGTGGGCGGGCGTCCCTCGGCTTCCATCTCAGCACCTTCCTACCCTGGGAACTGCAGGGGGGGAAGGGGGACGATGCACAGCAAAATCCTGACATTACAGCCTTCGTCTGTTGAAGTTTCTCCAAAGCTATGTCCAACAGTAACACACCATCTGGAGGGGCCTGGCTGTTCCCAAAAGAATAACAAGGTGGGGGTGGGGTGGGAGTGGGGAGAGAGCTTGGTCCATCTTTTCCCATGTCAACGGGCAGCTTACATGTCAAAAACTTAACCAGAATTTTAAGTTTCTTAGAAATCATTTGCGTTGAATACGTTGGTCTTGAAATTATACACTGTATCAGTTTAGTATAAGATTTAGCTTTGTCAACATAAGTGCCAGTTTTGGATAATGCTGATCTCATATGTTGACATTTTAATTTTAGCTATTAAGTTGGGACAAATTAGCAGGTCCTAATATTGCAGACCTGGAATTTTACTGTGCAAATAATTTGGCTGTTTTATACAGAATAATTTATCATAACAATCAAAAGATATTAATGGTATGTCAAAAATTATACTATTCTCATTATATAATTGGATTGCGTGAGTTGGGAAACTTAGGTAAATTAATTCAGAATTTATACTCCATTTCTCCTGACACAGGTTCATAAATGTTTGGGGGACATACATTAAGACGATTGTCACTTAATTATTTAATTGGATGTTTAAATCCAATAAAACTAATCTTAATGAACATATATGTGCAAAATAGAAACATCTAAGTAGTTTGTGAGGTTTTTAAAAATAGTTCCTGATGAAAGTCCCCCCACCTCATAAAACTCTAAATATTTCATACTTTGTGGATGTTTCAGTTGTGCCAACTGCCCTCAGTGACAGTAATGAAGCATGATTTCCACTATTGATAATGATAAGCTCATTTATACAGAGAATCCATTAGCTTGATTCTCTCATCACAGCTTCTTTCTAGCTCTTAAGATAGAATAAAGTAGCAAAGAAACCTGCTCCAAATAGATTCAAGCCAGGGTTATTTCTGGATTCTTCAGGAAGACCAAATATGTTTTTTTTCCTTTTGAAATACGGGTTTGTCAGCATTATTCTTGACCATTTTTGTTTAATTACATTACTAACAAACTCTCAACAAATCAGGAGTCTTTTAACTGTGACTTGCTTCCTTGACATTGCCTCAGACTGAAACCCCGTTGTGACTGCCGTGACTCCGAGTCCAGTCTGCCCATAAATAGTTGATTAATCCCCAGCTGAAGCAATGACAATGACATGAAGTTGAGTGATATGAAGACAATAGAGTGTAATTGAACATTAATGATCTGCGGCATGACAGATGTTGAACAGACTTTTGCATGGAGCCACTCAGCTCTGTTACTCTGGGTATTAACAGGCTTGGTCAGGAACAGTAGCCTTGTGACAGAAAAGTCTGTGTTATTTAGTCATCAAAATGTCACGTATCTTTTTTTTTAGTTTTTATGGAAATCTGCCCTATTAATGATATTATTTCTCATGTTCATTTATTTCGTCCCACAAGGAGCCTCTTCTGTGCTACTCTTTGGACTACTTCCCTACATACTATGCACTTACTCTGGACACTAATGACCAAAGGGCTAATGAGATGCATGATTTTGCAGGCAGGGCATGTATTCAGTGTTGGTAAGATTATATGGCTTGTGCTCCAAAAGAATCAAAAGCGGCCCTGGCCATGTAGCTGGGTCGGTTGGAGTGTCGTTCAATAAACCAAACTGATGCTGGCTTGATGTCGGGGCAGGGCACATGCCTGGGTTGCAGCTCCATCCCGGTTGGGGTGTATATGGAAAGCAACTGGTTGATATTTCTCTCCCTTCCCCTTTCCCCCTTCCCCCCTCTATAAAATCAATCAATAATTTTTTTAAAGAATCAAAAGCATAGAAAGGGAAAATAGCAAGCAGTTTGCACACAGCACAGCTATATTAGAACATAAACTAGCAGATATCTATGACATGAAATCGATCCAAAGATAGAGGGTATTATTGCAATAAAGGGTCTTGGGAGGCATATAAGACATTTCTCAAATGTATTCTGAAAGACTATTTATTAGTACTATAAAGATGTTCCTGGAGAAAAGGATTCTATTGTCAAGTAAGTTTGGGAAACACATTTGCTATCTCCTGCTTGGAGAATCATGAAGCAAAATTGGTAACATTTCTAAGAAGTCCAGAAGTCAAGAAATCTCTTGACTCCAGCATTTCCTAAACTTGCTTGAATAGAACCTTTTTTCCTAGAAAGTCCTATTAACAGAGTTCCTTGGAACACACTTTTTTTAAACCTGATATGGGGAGTCCCACTTATTTTACGGAGAAAGAGACTGAGACCCGGAAACTAAACACTGTGCTCAACAGCACTGAGCAATTTAACGACTGAATTAAGATGAGAAGTCAAATCTGTGTTCTTTGATTTTAGAGGTTTTGAAATTATGAGATTACTTAATACAAGCCCCTGAGTTTACTGGTGGAGCAACTGAGACTCACCAGTGACTTCCCAAACTCAGACAAGTCACTAGTAAAAGTTTTAGGAATACAATTAGAAAGTTTGTGCTTGAAGGACAGTGTCATTTATTTTATAACCCTAGTGTCTAGCACACTGTCTAAAAAATAATAGGTAATAAATGACCCACACTGAATGGCTAGAAAATAAATTATATGAATGACAGATAGATGCCAATAAGAATGAGTGCATTCTGCCCTGACTGGTGTGGCTCAGTGGATTGGGCATCATCCTGCAAACCAAAAGGTTGCCAGATCTATTCCCAGTCAGGGCACATGCCTGAGTTTTGGGCCAGGTCCTTGGCTGGGGGCATGTGAGAGGTAACCGATCGATGTTCCTCTCCTTCTCTTTTTCCCTCCCTCCTCCTCTCTCTAAAAGTAAATAAAATCTTAAAAAAAGAGTGAGTGCATTCCTAGTGAATAGCCCATAAGAATGATTTTTCTTACCTCATCCTATAAAGAATGCACACTAGCTATAGATTTTGATTGCAAAATTAATTATTTCTTATCAAAAACACACCCATAGCTATTTGAGCCTGAAGAGCACGCATGTCAGACTAATTTCCACAGTGTTTCTATACTGAGGGCATGATCCTGCTCAGTGAATTGGCAGTCACTATATGCCTGGAGGTTGGCCAGAAATCAAAACTGGCAGATGGAGATGGGAGAGAGGGGAAGATAGAAGGAGCTTACACCTGTAGGAGTAGACAAACTGGGGAAATATTATTTTAGAGGTAAAAGATGAATGACTGGAAATTATTACATAAAATATGTAGAATAAGGGAGTATTTCTCAATCCATTGAAATTTTACTTCCTGGCAATTGTCAGTTTGGCCCAAATAAACTCACCAAAAATTCTCTACAGGTTCAGATGTCTCTTATGTTGGCATTGACTTGGCATAGTGCAGCAGGATTCCAAAGAAGCCCGCCCAGGACCACCTCGCAGACCCTGACTTGCTGCTAGGTACCGGCAGGGGCCCATTGTACCTCACCAGCTCCTCGTTTTGCAAAGGGTGAACTCGGGCCCCTACTTTGGAGACTGAATCCTGACCATGTCTGCCCCTCTGGCTGGAACTCCAGAAAAAGTGCCCTTTTCCCCAGAAGACTGAGGAAATCTCTGAGCTAGAGGAGCCTCAGATAAGCACAGATAGGAAAGGGAGCAGCCGCAATGGCTTCAGGAATCCCAATGAATGTAAAGGAGGAGGAGACCTCTGCCTAGACCTCCCCATCTGCCTAGACTTCCTGACAAAACCCCTGAACCTGGCCTGTGGGCACAGATTCTGTCAAGCCTGCATCATTGCAAACAACACGGAGTCCATGATCAGCGAAGGAGGAGAGATTACACTAGCTACAGATTTTGATTGCAAAATTAAAAAATACTCCCTCTGTGCCAGTCAGTTACCAGCCTGGAAACCTCGGGCCTATCAGCATGTGGCCCATATAGTGGAGACACTTAGAGAGGTTATTTTGACCCCAGAGGAGGAATAACAGAGAGATCTCTGTGTGCACCAAGGAGAGAAACTCCTGCTCTTCTGTAAAAAGGATGGGAAGTTCATTTGCTGGCTCTGCGAGCAGTCTGAAGAGCACCAAGGTCACCACACCATCATGGAGGAAGTTGCCCCAGGAGTACAAAGAGAAGGTCCAGGCAGCTTTGGACAGGCTGAGGGCAGAGCACCAGGAAGCTGAAAAGTTGGAAACTGACATCAAATGAAAGAATCAAATATAACATGAGAGCCAAAGTGTCCGAGAGGCACTTTGAGGCACTGAGAGGCATCTTGGACACTGAGGAGCAGAAGGAGCCGCAAAAGCTGGAGAAGGAGGAGGGAGATATTTTCCATGACCTGGAACAGGCTGAGAGTGAGCTGGTCCAGCAGAGCCAGGTGTTGAGAGGTATCATCTCAGATCTGGAGCATCAGTTACAGGGGTCAACAATGAAAATGCTGCAGGATGTAAATGGCATCAGGAAAGGAGTAAAA